AGGGAGGGGGAGAGGGGGAAGGGGAGAGGGAGGGGGAGAGAGGGGAAGGGGAGAGGGAGGGGAGAGGGAGGGGAGAGAGGGAAAGGGGAGAGGGAGAGAGGGGAAAGGGGGAGAGGGAGGGGAGAGGGAGGGGGAAGAAGGGGAGGTGGAAGGAGGGAGGGGGAAGTGGGGAGGGAAAGAGGGGGAGGACAATGCCATGTAGGTAGCTGCAGACCCTACAGAGGCGGCGTACCTGGGGTCTCCACCCTCTGATAGTGGTAGGGATTCACGCAGACCTCGTCCTTCTTCATGTTGAAGGCGAACTCACACAGCTCCATGGCCCGCAGCTCATGGTGGCTATGTAGGTCGGGCCATCGCCACAGACGGCAGTAGATGACATGGGGGAGCCCCTTCCGGTGGGACACCTGCAGCCGGCCATCCAGGGACCTGCCGGGAACGGGAGGGGCAGAAACAGACAGTGAAGTGGGTCTGGCTCGCCTCCTCCCAAGTCTGGCCTGCCGAGCTCCATGAAAGCTCGCTGGCAGAGACTCAGGAAGCTCCCCTCCGCTGGCCTGTCTCACACGCAGAGGGCCAGGAGATCAGAGAAGCTCTGTGTGTGCTGGAAGGGGTCCAGGAGAAGAACACAGAGGCCCACCCAGCAAGGCCGAGGGCTCCCAGGCTGGCAGAGCTGACCTCGGACCCGCCCCACGAGGGGAACGACAGCGAATCATGCTCTGGAAAGGTCGGGGCCAGGTGGAGGTGTGCAGCGGGGACAGGGCTGAACTAGGAGACGGGAGTCCTTCAGGAGCCGATGTGAGGGCCACAGTGATGCTGGGGAGGAGGGTGACGGCACACAGCGCCCCCCCCCCCCAGTCGCTTTCCACGCTCACCCAGTTCCTCTCTCACACATGAGAAACCAGAAAAAAAAACCCCGACCCTCTTTTTTTCAGTTGGTGTTCGTGATAAGGCAGGGAGGGAGAGAAGGCAATGGAGGGGAATTTTAACTGGTCAGAGGCTACGTGGCAGACCTCTCGGGAGTCCCTCTCAGCGTGAGGGCTGCTGGCAGGCTGCCCCAGGTGTCCCAGTTCAGAGCTAAGGCCTAAGCGGTCGTGCGTGAGCAGAGCAGGAACCGAGCCTGTGACTTGGTTCTGCCACGGTCCCCGGCCTGGCTGGGCCGAACCCACCCCCAACGGCAGTGTCCTGTCCCTGTGCAAACCGCGTCTTCCGTGGTGACCTAGCCTCTGAGCAGCTGACCTGGCGCCGCGCCCCCCACCCCAGGCCAGAGTGTGGTCCCTGGTGGACCAGCAGCACAGGTCCACGGAAGCTCGTGAAAAAGGCAAAATCTCAGAGGCTACCCCAACCCACTATATCAGATTCTTCCTCTTTCTAAAATCCCCAGGTCATCTGCAGGACAAGAAAGTTGGAGCAGCGCCACAGGCCATGACGGCTGGGAGCTTGTGTGGCAGAAGTGCCATCAGACAAGAGTAAGGTCGGAGGCAGGAGGCATCTGGAGGGGGAGGTGAGAGGCTTCAAGCAACGCCAGGTATTAGACAGGTGAGGCGCTTCCGTTCACACAGAGTCCTTTATCTAACAAGTCTTTAATGACCTCCTACTCTGTGTGGCACTAGGGTTACAGTGGTGAGGGAAAGGGAGTAAAAGAGACCACAGAGCGGTCCCTGCTTCCACAGAACTTCCGTGGGCAAGACCGACATTAATCACATGATCAGGACAGCTACAATGACAAACTAAGTGCAGGGAACCACAAGTGCATATGACCCTGGGGACCCTGCTGCACTCAAGGGCGGGACAGGGCATCTCTGAGGAGGTGGTGGTTGACCAGGAAGTCTGAAGGATAAGTAAGAACTAAGTAGTCAAAGGGGTACGGGAGGAGGGCACTCCAAGTAGAGAGAAGAGCATGTGCAAAGGCCCTGGGAAGGTGGAAAACACGGTGAGGAGGAATACCAGAATGAAGGCCAGAGTGACCGGAGAGGAGGGAGGCTGGGGGAGCAGACAGGGGTGCTCCTGCAGGGTCTCAGATGCCATGGTGAGAGGTTCTGCCTGTTTTCTAAAAGCCACAGGAAGCCTCTGAGATGTGTAAGTGGGCTGAGAGTGTGTTTGAGCGTGCGCACACGAGACACAGGCCCCGTGATAATCCTGGCTGCAGGGACAAGCAGACTGGGGGTAGTGGGGAGTCAGAGTGGGTGAGGTGGACGCTCATCAATAAGGAGGCACCCTTCATGCCCCGGTCCGGGAAGATCCCACATGCCGCGGAGCGGCTGGGCCCGGGAGCCATGGCCACTGAGCCTGCGCGTCCGGAGCCTGTGCTCCGCAACGGGAGAGGCCACAACAGTGAGAGGCCCGCGTACCGCAAAAACAAATAAGGAGGCGCCCAGAGGCAGTACTGCTCTTTCTTCAAGACGGCCCGTCCTAGGACCCCACTGGCCAGCAGGCAGGACTATTCTAATAGCTGGGCAGGCCTGCTGGAGAGGCATTTGAAGCTCTCCCTCCCTGCCCCCACACGACTAAGGGCACCCATTTTCCTGAATATATGGAATTTATGGACACTCTGCGAGGGAGGGGCTCGCCAGATGCAACCAGAATCACCAACCAGAGAGAGAGAAACAGGAATCCAATCAAACTCTCCAAGGCACTGGCCTGGGCAGGGGGGAGGACAGACAGAGGTCAGAACAGGACTTGGGCACAGGGACTGACAGGGATCTGCTGACTCAGGGCAGCTCAAAGGATGTAATTACCTCCCTCCTGTGGGGCCCCAGACCAAGGAACCCCGACAGCCCAGAAACAGTAATTAGGAGGCAGAACGAGAGAAGACAGCCTGGGACTCGCCCCTGAGATACAGAAGGCAGATGGCCAGATGTGGACTCATGAGAACTGGGGTCAAGGGGAGGTTCTCCTCTTCTGGCTGTGAGACCCTGGGCAAGTCCTGAAGTCTCCAGGACCCTCAGTTACCTCATCTGTAAAATGGAACATTCTTCCCCCACTGCTGCCCCTGACCTCACGCAGCTCAGTATCCACTCAAAAGTGCTTCGTGAAGCACCCACAGGACTGTTATTCTTCCCCATCACGATGGCCACTCCGCAAACCCGGCCCCGGAGAAGTGAGGTGAGCTGTGGGGCTGAGGACGAGAGAAAGGGAGAGTGGGAGGTGATGTGTGGGGACAGAGAGGGACTCAGCTCTTCCCATTTTCCTGCAAAGCCACCGTGTGCCCATAGATAGGGAAGTGGGCACATCTGCCCTTCAGTGTTGGACAAAAGCCCCAACAGAGAGCCAGCTGGACATCTGGAGTGGCCTCTGCAGGGGGAGGCCGTGGAGAGAGGCTCAGACCAGCAGCGAGGAAAGAGTGGGCAGTGGAGGGAGCCCCCAACCCCTACCTGGTTGATGGAAGGGTTAGCCCTCTTGCTTTAAAAGAAAAACAATGCAGCGCTATTCACAATAGCGAGGACCTGGAAGCAACCTAAATGTCCATTGACGGAGGAATGGATAAAGAAGACGCGGAACGTATGTGTGATGGAATACTACTCAGCCATAAAAAGAATGAAATAATGCCATTCGCAGCAACACAGATGGACCTAGAGATCATCATACAGAGTGAAGTCAGACAGAAAGAAAAATATCATATCACCTATATGTGGAATCTAAAAAAAAAATGGTACAAATGAACCTATTTACAAAACAGAAATAGAATCACAGATGTAAAAAAAAATAGTAACACAGAGCAGGAGGAGGGGTGATGGTGGACAACGCAAGAGAAGGGTCCCTGCTTCCACGGGGCAGACGGCCTGAGAGAGGGCGCGAAAGGCCAAGTTCCCATCGGCCCTGCACTGGGCCTGCGCCTCAGGCAGGGCAGGTGCGGGGACAGGACGCCCTGGGCACTCCTGACGTGGAGCGACGCTCACACGCCGCCCTAACGTCCTAACCCCCAGGACTGGGACAGCCGAGCCAGAGACCCAGAGTGACCCAGGGCCTGCAAGGGGGAAAAGGGCGTGGAGTGGGCAGAAATGGGACACCGCGGGGCACACGAGGCTCAGACACGTCATGTGACGGAGGCCAAGGTCTGGGCGCGACGTGGCCCTTATGGGCTTTGGGAGTTGAGGGATGGGAAGGAGAATCAAGGATGTGGTGAAGGAGCGCAGAAGGCTCATCACATCTGTAGGCAGAGACTGCAGTGTCCTGATTCCTCATCCCATCCTTTCTGCGTTACATGGGCTGTTTCCTCTCAGGGCCTGAAGAGCCTGGCTGTCTACCTGAAGAAGTACGGCAGGGAGCGCTCCAGGCACAGAGGAAGGAGCAGGGAGAAGGGGTGGGGGGAGTAAAAAGGAGGGGGTGGCGGGGAGGAGGGAGAGGGGACACAGGACCGGATGATGGGAGGGAGGTGGAGGGAAGGTGGAGGCAAGTGATGGATAGTGGGAGGGAGATGGACAGGAGGAGGGGGAGGGGAGGAGGGGGAAGAGAACGGGGGAGGGGACAAGGAGAGGGAGGGAGGAGGGAGGGAGGGGGGGGGAGGAGGGGGAAAGGGGGGGGGAGGGGGGGGGGAGGGGGGGGGGAGGAGGAGGCAGAAAGGGTGGGAGAGAGGGGCGGGAGAGGCTAAGGAAGTCCTTCGGTCAAATACAACAAACTGAAGGGATGCATTTATCTCTGTCCTGCCCAAGACAATGGGTAGGAGAGGAGAGCAGACAATGGGCAGAGAGGAGAATGGAAAGCAGATGGCCGAACGGGAAAAGACTTAGCAGAGTGAACCTGGGAAAAGGTCTGGACTTGGAGGTACCACACACTTGTCAAGACTTGGCTGAGAACAGGATGGGTTGACTGTCTACAGAAGAGGCAGGCAGATCCCAGCTCCTTCCCCCCGGGCCTCCCCATAAACAGGACCTCCCCAACCCTGCCAGAGACTAGTCTGCTCTCCGCCGAAAATGAATGGGAGAGCGGAGCTCTAGACAGGGCCACCAGGGCACAGCTGCGGGTGAAGGTCACACAGGGGCTAGGAAACAGGATTTCGTGAACGGAGCGCTCAGCTCCCTTGCTTACCCCATCCCTGCCTGTGGAGGAATTAAACAGCTCAGGCCACAAGAAAAGACCTGAAATACTGACATTTGGGGATTCCCCAACTAAACGGCCCTGTTTCTGCCAGTTCTCCCTACGGGGAAGCCCACCTGCCAACAGGCCCCTCCCACCACCATACACAGAACAGGCAATCGGCTTTTTACTGCCACGCTCTCAAATGTGAACGCAAGGCCAGAATCCCCAGCCATTTAAAGAAAGCCTCTAACAGGAGGCGCAGAGATAGAAATAAGTGGGGGAGGAAAAAAAGAAGTCAGAGACAATGCAGGGAGCAGAAGAAAACTTCCAAATAAAATAAAACAAAAACTGCTCTCGGGGAGATGAGCTATTGCAATCCTAAAACAGGAACATTTACAGACTACTGAAAAGCA